TGTATTATTCTTTTTGTTTGTATAAACGCATCCTCAAATGAGTACAAAAATGTAACATGCCAAATGTAATGATGTATTATACAACATGTGAAATATGAAAATAAACTGAAACTGAGACAAGCATTGCTTTCTCTTTAGGCTCCATCATATTTTTTCCTTTATACAACTTAGTCTTATGTATTATTCTTTTTGTTTGTATAAACGCATCCTCAAATGAGTACAAAATGTAACATGCCAAATGTAATGATGTATTATACAACATGTGAAATATGAAAATAAACTGAAACTGAAACTGAAAACATGAGGAGGTAATTCATTCCATAAAATTAGTCATTTAAATAAAAAATAGAACTTTTAGAGACAGAATTTTAAATAAGTGGTCTATTAAAATGTGACGGTTGCCTATTTCCATATAAATGTATTTCAAAATATGAAATTTGTTTGAACGAGTATGGGGGAAATATCTTTTTGACATAAAAAAAAACAAATATGTCAATATTATAATCATTCGATTCAAATACATTAAAACATTTCAAACGAAGAAAATGAGGCTCTGTATGGGCAGGATAATGGGATCCACAGATAATACGTATTGCCTTCTTTTATAATGTATATAATCTATTCATACAATAATCATTTGAATTTACCCAAACAGTATTGCAACAATTCAATTGTGATAAAAACAATGCATTGAATATCATTAATAAAATCTTATAAGGAAAATGTTTCAATTTATGTAAAATACCAACTACTTTCGAGACTATATTACAAATTGCTTCAATATGAACGTGCCATGACATTTTACAATCAATTTGAATACCTTAAAATGTCAATGAATTACAACACTATATAACATTTCCTTTAATATTTTACTTCTATATCATCAGTTCTAATGTGTTTTTTTTGTGAAAATCATGTAATTAGTTTTCTTTACATTTAAGATTAATTAATTAATATTTAACCATTGAGAAATGTTCAGAAGCTCAATATTTCATATCACTAATCTATTTAAATCGTTATCAGACAAATACAATCTTGAATCTTCCGTATATAAAATACACTGCAATATTTGTGAAGCCTGAGTAATATCATTCATGTATACAATAAATAATAACGGTCATTTAACATTTTAACAAAACACCTCGGGGGGGGGGGGGGTGGGGGTTGAACCTCCCCCTCAAATTGTGTATGTGATGTGTGTAATTTTTGATGGAACCCCCCCCCCCCCCTCAAATTTTTGTTGGTGCAAAAGGGTGACCCAAAAAGTAACCTTACCCCCCCCCTTGAGTCTTTGCGAAATTTTTGGGCCCCCAAAAAAATGTGTTCTTACCCCCCCCCCCCCCCCCCCCCCCAGGTATGCAATTTATGAAAGTGAGAGATCTTTAAAAACTGTTCGAATGTGGATGATGATGTAATAATATATCAAACAATAATGATGGGTTCTTGTATACCTTTCATATCTGGTGAAATGCCACTCCTGGCTCCTCATTTTTTTTTAATCATGGCAAATAGCATTATTCATAAACAACGCAGCGCTCCAGTATTTAAAATATTAATATCTACCAGGTACCTATTTATCTCACTTAGTGAGTTGAGTAACAAATGCAGAGTACTGTAAAGTCTTGCCATCGGGAAGTTATTGATGCAAAATGGATTCGAACCCCGTACTTCATTTCCGCAACATTTCCATGAGACCACATCATCTCACTTTCAAATGCTACCAGATCAGTTCGAGATCAATCTTATCGTGTTGAATTGAGACTGGGATCAGAGTGTTAATTTCCTGCTGTATTCTTTAAAAGCAATTTTCTTGAGATTGGGCTAAATTGTCATCGTATTATTTAATTATTGTCGTTATTGATATTGTCAGTGCATTCATAGGTCTCTTTAAATGTTAACTTCCCGATAGGCATTGTCAACGAAATGGTTACAAACAATTCCATATAGTCCATATTATATACCTCACTTAAGAAATCCAGCCATCTGATTGGTCGAAATTGCATTCATAAACTTTAACTATTCCTGTAAAATTCCCGGTAAAATTCCAAACCCATGTAATAGTTTTTAAAAATAGTTCTAAAATCCCAGTAACCATGGTTACCGGGAAAATAGTTCTAAAAAATAGTTCTAAAATCCCAGTTACCATGGTTACCGAAATAGTTCGGTCTAGGTGATATTGGTTTGAGCGATCGAGGATACCGTACGTGTGCGAAGAATTGGTCGTTATTTTCATACAAGACAAGACAACTCCAAACAAGACAAAAATGGCTAAAGACACTCTCCCAAGATTTCAACTTATCAAATGCAAGACTCGCTGACAGCAAGAACAAAAAAAGGGTACGTGAAATTATCCATAAACATGTTCGTTTAGATGCTGAAAATGGAGTACCAGCATAGACGTAGACGAAAATAGATCAGTCAGGGTGTCTGATCGCGCACCCGATGTTGTGTACAAAAATTCTTCCCATAGAGATTGCACGCAATGCAGTCTCTATGCAGTCTACGTGCATTGCGCGACCATGCAAAAAAAGTCAAGTTTTTAACCAAACAGTATTGCAACAATTCAATTGTGATAAAAACAATGCATTGAATATCATTAATAAAATCTTATAAGGAAAATGTTTCAATTTATGTAAAATACCAACTACTTTCGAGACTATATTACAAATTGCTTCAATATGAACGTGCCATGACATTTTACAATCAATTTGAATACCTTAAAATGTCAATGAATCACAACACTATATAACATTTCCTTTAATATTTTACTTCTATATCATCAGTTCTAATGTTTTTGTTTGTGAAAATCATGTAATTAGTTTTCTTTATATTTAAGATTAATTAATTAATATTTAACCATTGAGAAATGTTCAGAAGCTCAATATTTCATATCACTAGTCTATTTAAATCGTTATCAGACAAATACAATCTTGAATCTTCCGTATATAAAATACACTGCAATATTTGTGAAGCCTGAGTAATATCATTCATGTATACAATAAATAATAACGGTCATTTAACATTTTAACAAAACACCTCGGGGGGGGGGGGGGGGGGGGGTTGAACCTCCCCCTCAAATTGTGTATGTGATGTGTGTAATTTTTGATGGAACCCCCCCCCCCCCTCAAATTTTTGTTGGTGCAAAAGGGTGACCCAAAAAGTAACCTTACCCCCCCCCCCCCTTGAGTCTTTGCGAAATTTTTGGGCCCCCAAAAAATGTGTTCTTACCCCCCCCCCCCCAGGTATGCAATTTATGATAGTGAGAGATCTTTAAAAACTGTTCGAATGTGGATGATGATGTAATAATATATCAAACAATAATGATAGGTTCTTGTATACCTTTCATATCTGGTGAAATGCCACTCCTGGCGCCTCATTTTTTTTTTAATCATGGCAAATAGCATTATTCATAAACACCGCAGCGCTCCAGTATTTTAAAATATTAATATCTACCAGGTACCAATTTTCCTCACCAAGTGAGTTGAGTGACAAATGCAGAGTACTGTAAAGTCTTGCCATCGGGAAGTTATTGATGCAAAATGGATTCGAACCCCGTACTTCCTTTCCGCAACATTTCCATGAGACCACATCATCTCACTTTCAAATGCTACCAGATCAGTTCGAGATCAATCTAATCGTGTTGAATTGAGACTGGGATCAGAGTGTTTCCTGCTGGATTCTTTAAAAGCAATTTTCTTGAGATTGGGCTAAATTGTCATCGTATTATTTAATTATTGTCGTTATTGATATTGTCAGTGCATTCATATAGGTCTCTTTAAAAGTTAACTTCCCGATAGGCATTGTCAACGAAATGGTTACAAACAATTCCATATAGTCCATATTATATACCTCACTTAAGAAATCCAGCCATCTGATTGGTCGAAATTGCATTCATAAACTTTAACTATTCCTGTAAAATCCCAGTAACCATGGTTACCGGGAAAATAGTTCTAAAAAATAGTTCTAAAATCCCAGTTACCATGGTTACCGGAAAAATAGTTCAGTCTAGGTGATATTGGTTTGAGCGATCGAGGATACCGTACGTGTGCGAAGAATTGGTCGGTATTTTCATACAAGACAAGACAATTCCAAATAAGACAAAAATGGCTAAAGACACTCTCCCAAGATTTCAATTTATAAAATGCAAGACTCGCTGACAGCAAGAACAACAAAAAGGGTACGTGAAATTTCCATAAACATGTTTTGATAGATGCTGAAAATAGAGTACCAGCATAGACGTAGACGAAAAAAGATCAGTCAGGGTGTCTGATCGCGCACCCGATGTTGTGTACAAAAATTCTTCCCATAGAGATTGCACGCAATGCAGTCTCTATGCAGTCTACGTGCATTGCGCGACCATGCAAAAAAAGTCAATTTTTTTTGTTCAATTCGAGATTCAAACCTTTATCTGTTGTGATCCTGAAGGTGATACTCAATAAGTGAGGTGTCATATGATAGCGCAGGTTCTTCTCCATATACCCCATAGGGCCGGCCCACCCCCAAAATTGTAAAAATATCTTGCTTAGACTAGAATCTAGATCTAGTCTACTCTCAAAGATACACTCATAAAAAACAACCGTGCAGATAAACTAGAGAAAGGCCAAGGTGGTGTCATTAGTTGACTCTTTTGTTTTCGGCATAAAGTATTAATAACTGCTTAAATATCCGAGAAATAGTTGTTTTTATGCGCTCTCGGGAAGGTTACAATTGGGCTATTGCCCTCGGCACGCCTCGGGCAATAGCACAATTCTAACCTTCCCTTGAGCGCATAAAAACAACTATTTCTCTCAAAGCAGTCATTAATACTATACTATTAAGCTATATAGATAAATACAATGTAAAGAGCTTAGAAACGTAATATTACAAAGTGATATACAAATGTGACTTACTATTATTATTATGATTATTATGATTATTATTGTTATTATTGATATAATTATTACGGTTATTACTATGCAGAAGTAAGGGAAGTCTTGGTCATTGGAGAGGATCTTGCAAGATTCGCCACAACGTTGCCGACTTGTGTTTCACTGATGACAACTTTGAAAATGCATAACTTTCCTACTTTTGGCATTGCTCAAACTCTCACTTATTTCTTTCTCTTGTGTATTTTTAAAATAAATATGATTCCAGCTTATTATTCGGTGGATTTTCCCCTTTAATAATGGTATCAATATGTTGATAGGTGTCTAAAAGGCTTCCTGTTGACTGTATTGTCAACGTGATGTTTACAAAGCCATTATGACACCTTATGGAGCTATAGTGGTCGATGAGTGTAGGCAAACAACCTGAAGTGATTCATCACTGCGTACATGTTCCCATGTGAAGGTTTACAGTCCCTAGCATATGCATTTGTAAGAGTAATCTAAACTCTGAATCAGAACTATGGTGACTTGTGAAAGGAAGGCTATTGAAGTAATGATAAGCTGTTTCTTGAACTTTTCCTTCATGTAGCTGGATAGGGAAAGGCCAGAACCCGTAGAGATGAATCTCATTGCACAGAGTAGCAGCTAGGCTAACCAGGTACAGACCTGTAATACCAAACAGATGATAACTCTTATTATATTGCTAATAAATATAGAACGATAACACTCAATAGCCGTGTCTTGCGAGATCAATTCTGGTTAAAAATATGGGCAAAGTGGTGACTCCAATAGTACTATTGGAGCCACCGACGCCCATAGTGTTAACCAGTACCTCGAAAAAAGGCAGGGTTTATATTTTTTTATATCCTGTATCAAAAAACAAAACAATTTTAAACAAATTTTATCACATTTTAAAAAAAATTACAAAAAAATAAAGAATAACAAATACAATCTTACAATTTGAATTCGTTCAAAGACAAAATAATTGTTAAAACATTCCAATACCATTTTAAGATAAAAACATTATAATTTTGTTGTTCAACTCCTAATTAGTATTTCTTTTCCCAAATAGTACTCTCAAACAGTACCTTTTCAGAGCAACCTTAAAATGGTTGAAATATTTTTGGTCGCGTAAATCAAAAACCAATGAATTTTCGATGCAGGATATAATATCGTTTTACCCGCAGTGTCCACAGTATTATATACGTACGTTTTCATTATACATTTAATATCTGGATAGTTAATATCTAGATCTACCGATAGATTAATTGAATCCTACAAAGTGTATTAAAATGAACATTTGCTTTTCTAGAAAACCAGTCAACCAGTCTTCCATTATTCTCGAAAATTATGTTCTTACAACAATACAACTGTGACACTGGTCAAATTACTTGGTATCACCATACAAAGTGATTTGAAGTAGGAAGCCCATGTCAGAGATATTGAATAAAGAGTGATTGCAAAACTATGCTCCGTTCTTTAGGAAAGTTCGGCCTTTCACATGAAGATCTAATTACTATTTTCATTCACATTGGCTATATTCGCCCAATCCTTGAATATGCAACTGAAGTTTGGAGCGGAGGCCCCACTGGTGCACCCAGACAACTCATAAAGGAGATATTATATAGAAAGATTACAAAAACGTGCTTTGAGGATTATCTTAAGAAAGAACTACCATAGTTATGCAACCGCCCTTACTCAATCGAAATTACAAACATTGGAAAGTCGTCGAAATGACCTATGTGTTACCTTCTTTAAGAAAACTTTATCATACACACACCAATTCAAACATTTTATTCCAAAAATGGTGCACAATAGAACATTTCGAAGGACTAACAAGATCCCTGAACCCAGGGGCAAAACTGAACGTAAGCAGAATATAGCCCAATCCCAGATTCGATCCGTTTGTATAACAAAAGATTTCTATGATTTTATTATACTTTGAAACAAATGAAACGGTCAATTTGTTTTTAAATTACATGTCTATATTCCTTAGTATATTATTTATTACTAAATCCGAGGTCTGATATATTACACAGTTATTCATTGTATCACTTTATGACATGAAGTATTCGATGCATATTTATATATCTCTAGTGTTCACCTTATAATATTCATTTTGTTTTGTAATGTATGTTTGTATTTTATCAGTATTTACATAATCGTTGTTAAGAGCCCATTTTCTCTCTCTTTCTGGCCCCCTTCACTTTATCCTCCCCGTCCCCCTCCCCTCTCCCCCCCCCCCCCCCTCTCCCCCTCTCTCTCTCTCTCTCTCTATCTCTATCTCTATCTCCTGTTTTCCTATCTCTCTGAATCTTTTCATCTCTTTTTCATTTTTAACTCAATTTTTTTGGTTGTAATATTGTATAAGATTAATGGTATCATGTACACGCTCTTCAGATTGTAGTGTGATATGCCTTGAAATGTATACTTGTTTTTTCCATCAATATTTTATTCATGTGCAATTCAGTTACTTGTAACTGCGATACATAGAAATGAATCGATAAATACCATTTATCTATCTATCTAAGCTCGAAGTCATACGAGTATGATTAAATGTTGTCAGATGACTATATGTTTAACAAGTATTATTATATGATGACGATTGATGATGATGTTAATTATGAATCACTACTATGAAGTAATTATCGATATTGAAAATATTAAGCTTTACCTGTCGATGGTTTTTTCCTTAGACCACGCCTCTTCCAGAACTCCCATATACTGACGTAATGTGAAGGGTGACCAATCACGAGTCGAGAATCTACCTGATCATGATAACTAATAGCTTTGATACATGGTTCAACTAACTGTCTGGAGCCGAAGCATGGATACCATACCATACTATCATACTGCTTCATGAATGTGATGTAGGACTCGATCATACTCTCGTTCACGAGTCCACCAAATCTAATAAGACAAGATCATACAGAGTCCAATGAGATAATGCTCAAACAAACTTAAAGATAAATGTGAGTTTTGGTAATGCGATCGCATTGTGAAAGAAAAGGTGTGGAATGGATCAGAAAAAGTTGATCATATAGCATGTAAGTATTGGTGTGTACTGCAAAGTCTGGACTCATCAAAATCATAATAAATTTGGCCCAGTCTTGGTAAAGTAACAAGCACTGTTCACAGAAAGATGTATATGGGACTACACAAATGGTGTCGGGGCTAGTACCACCTGGTTTTCTTATCTTTCTATGCTCATTATACTCAGCCAGTATACATTTTCTTCCAAAATTGTTTGGCACATGACATTTATTTGTAATCTTGAACATTCAGTGTAAGTTTTGTTTGATTCTGTGAGAATTCATTTTCTTTTTTTTTTACCAGAACTCAAGTTTATCATTAATTCACCTAAACGCAACTTGAACAGCAGATGATTAGAAAAACTGAGGGTACATGTACAATGAATATAATAATGATGCTATGTAAGAGCGTCGACAAATTCAAACTTTTTCGACACTCTTGTAAATAAATACACAATTTGTTATGAAAAATGAAAATAAGAGAATGATGGTGCGTATAGCACTATCAAAGTTCCACATTGCTGTTTCCTCCCTTTTTAATATTTATGCAAAGGTAGAAAAATGTCTCCGCGGAAATCGGAGCAGGTCCTTGTTGCCAATGTAACAATACCACAAACAATAGCAACAAATAAAGTTGCTATGTCAGACATGTCAGACTAAACTAATATTCTAGAATAGACAATGGTGGGTAATTTTGAAGCAAGTTTGAAAAACAAATATTTCAAAAAACATTTGAAAATCTATGAAACAAATTCAGAAGTTTACATATCAAAATATGAGATGTATGCTGCACACCAACAGGAATACACTTGTTTTTCGATGTCATGGGCCCTTTAAGAGCGCGCCATATGGATATGAATCATACATGACTCGGTATATATTCTTTCAGTCCTTGAGTGTGTATGTATAAACAGAAAAACTGCAAAGTTCCCAGTAAATGTTGTTTATTCTTACAATAGTGACTTACCGTTTATATAGTATACTAGGGTTGAAAGTAAGGAAGTCTGTTCGCTTCCCAGCATCCGTTACAAAACCTTCCAAGGGTGCTCCGTTACATCTAAAATAAAATAAAAACAAAACAGAAACCAAACTTAGCATAATGATATGACAGACCAACATGAAAATAATTACTGACCAACATAATATCACAAAATATATTAGACCAATTTAGTATAATAATACGGATTCATCTGACATTAACAAAATATGAGAAGAGACGGACCCCCCCCCCCCCCCCCCACGTGAACGGAGGGATACCATGCGTGTTCCCAAACTCTCCGGCTCGTAACAAAAGAAAAATGTCTACCCGTATTGACTTTACACACCGGACCGTTTTGCTGAAAAGGAGGGGGTGCTGAAAAAGGCTCGTATAACAAAAGAAAAAGGTCGACCCGTATTGACTTTACACACCGGACTTTTGCTTTAAAAAAGGGGGGTGGGTCGCTGGGAACACGCATATGCGTACCCTAAATAACACTGAGTGGGGGGGGGGGGCGGGGAACGAACCTAACAAAAAGACGCTCAGAAGAAGTCTCCAATAAAAAAAAACTTTTAAGCTAACAAATTATCTTAACCATGATCATCATTAGGAAGTGAATCTGTTATGTGTACGATCGGTCATTTTATGTTAGGAAATCTTGGAAGTGGAATACATCGTAGTAGTAGTACCTCAAAATATCATTACAGCATATAGACCTACAATTACAATGAGCTGAGATAATTTCAGTATTCTCAAGGGGTTTCAATGAACACGCACTTGTCTTGAAATTAATAAATAATGATTGATCAAGTTGAATTTGCGATGTAAAAAGTTATCATGCAAATTTGTATAGCAAATGTATTTTGCAACAAGTTTACACCTAGAAAATTACTAATTATTAAAAAAATCATCTATAAATATATGAACAGTAAATTGATATACATCTTATGGAAGAGTGTTTTATCCCAAATCATTTGGTATCATTTTTGTGTGGTAGGTATTCACGCTTGGGTGAACATGAGGCATTGTGTGCGAGAGTGCAACAATCGACTTGCGCCAAAGTGATGCATACAGTATGTATTATGTTTGGATTAGCAGGGTGAGAGAATGAGTTGAATTCAATGTTCAAATGAAATGCATTGCATCTGCTTTTTGCAGAAGCAAAGTCACATACACACACATGCGCCCGCACAAATGTTCGTTGATATTTGATATTCGATATTTGATATGTGTGGCATGATTGATTTTTTTACGGATGTTATTTGGATCTGCAAAGACCGAATTAATACGCAAATCCCAATCGTTTTATTCAAGCATCACATACTGTAGGCAACTTTGGCGCAAGTCGATTTTTGCACTCTCACAAACAATGCCTCCTGTTCGTTCAAGCGTGAACACATACGGCACAAAATGATACTAAATGGTGCGGGATAAAACACTCTTTCATAAGATGTATAATAGTTTACTGTTCATAGATGATTTTTTTTTAATAATTAGCAATTTTCTAGGTGTAAACTTTTTTTGACTCACGCTGTACACATAGCAATCTCTTTGAATGTATACATACGTTGGAATTATAGAATGTAATGTCTTGATGAATGTAATGTGTTGATAGAATGGCAGCTCATGGTCTTAATTTGCGAAATAAACGCAAGCACACAGAAATGATTAAAGTGCAAAACAGAGCGCCACAGATATAGCCTAGTGCCTAATACCTGATGCAGCTACTTAATGATCAATAATTTGTGCAATATTTTCCCTGTGAAATGTGGAATTAACGTTTACAAAATTTCTTTTGGCTCATTAATGTTTCAGCCCACGTTCACTCTTTTATATATCGAAAATCTACATTGTGATGTATAATCTCGAAAAAGAAATTGAATATGTGTCACTTTTTAATGTCGATTTAATAGTATTGATATGCCCTTCTATCTCTCTCCCTCTCTCTCTCTCTCTCTCTCTCTCCCTGTCCCTCTCTCTTTCTTTCCCTCTCTCCTCATTTTTCATCCTTTTCTCTCTCTTTTCTCTGTCTTTCTTTCTCTTCCCGTCTGTCCCTATTACCCCCTCTCTCTTCCTTTCTCCGTCTCTCTCACACTCAAACTGCCAAAATGATATAGACCGTAATATTTTGTTTACTGTCTTATGCTTTACTGATAATTTTGTACTCGATTTATGGCACTGTTCGCCCTTTTTCATTTTTAAAAGAGTTGAATATTTATCTCCTTTCAAATTTGGATGATATTTTAAATATGCCCTTCAATGCACGTCTACATGTAAGTTACTTTCTGTCGTTATAATGTATATTGAATGTAGATCTTGTTGAAACTTTCTTATTCTCTCTAATTTTGTCATCGCACTATATCTCTCTCCCACTCGAATTCCATCGCTCTCTCCTTTCTCCATCTCTCTCTCTCTCTCTCTACATATATATTTCCCTCCCTTTCTCATGCGCTCATCATTCTCTCTCTGTCTCTACCTCTGTTTCTTTCTCTCTATCTCTCTCAGTCTCCCTCATTCAGTGTTGCATAACAACATCCCTAGTATAGGATGATTCATCTATTTAATGTACTGACTTGAACCACGTTATGCTTTCAAATTGCTAAGATTAATGAATATTTGTTTAATTTCAAATGCGATTTTTCTGCTATTTTATAGTGAATCGATAGGCAATTCAGCTTTAGGGGTGCTATATAGTTTTTAATAAACCAATAAAAAAAAAAAGGCGATACGCAACGGTTTTTATTGGTTTAGCCCTTTAAATTCCTAACGCAATTCATTATCTTTTCATCTAAATTAGGAGGAGAATATTTTAGAAATCTCAGGATTACATAACTCATATTGCGCAGTTTGTATCCTCATCACTCGATGTTTATTTCTTTTCATATCGGGCCTATTTCCTTGATATATTACATTGTACGATAGTTTTACTTGCAAAACATCAGCTCCAAAATAATTGCATAATTATTATATGCATGCTGCAATCAAATATGACGCGATCGCAAAGGCTAGCAAGAAATAAACTTAACGATAAATCTAACACGAAATTGCTTTGACCATACATTAAGTCAATGACATGTTCGCTCATATCAAAAGGTGGGATCGATCTACAATGCTATGTTAATTGATTAATGATATGCACTAATAGTCTATTGTCATAACTTAAATGAAAACAAATATGTGTGTCTGGTATTAGAATATTCGAATGGTAAAGCTTGATTCTTATACCTGAATACGAAATCCATGCCATCTATCTGTGAACCACAGGTACTTAGCTTTAATGATCCACTGTTTCCTATGACAGCACACTTCTCGTAGCGTTTCCCCTTTAATGGCGATTCCTAAACGCACAAAAAGAGAAATACATTTGAAACATCTTCTCTCTTAGAATCTTAAAAATCAACTGCAAATTTGAGATATTTATTAAAGATAAACTCCAGTACTGGTAAAAAAAAAAAAAATTCTCACAGAATCAAACGAAACTTACACTGAATGTTCAAGATTACAAATAAATGATATGTGCCAAACAATTTTGGAAGAAAATGTATACTGGCTGAGTAATGAGCATAGAAATACAAGGAAATCAAGGTAGTACTAGCCCCGACACCATGTGTGTTGTCCCATATATAGCTTTCTATGTGAGTGCTTATTACTTTACCAAGACTCGGTCAAATTTATTATGATTTTGATGACTCCAGAACCTTGCAGTGCTCACCAATACTTACATGCTACATGATCAACTGTTTCTGATCCTTTCCACACCTTTTCTTTCACAATGCAATCGCATTACCAGTACTAAAGTTTATCTTTAATATTCAAGTACATTTGGGCGTGGTCTTTGATACTAAATTTGTCATGGTCACATAACCCGAACATTTTTCTAGAGTTATCACCAAATTATGATTTTTGGCAAGTGAACTATTTCCTTGGAATTACCCAAATGTTCCCAATACGAACTTTTGGTGCATTGCTCAATCATCTTACACTATATATATAATCTATCAACTAAAACATTGGACTTACGAGAAAGATTTAAAGTATTCAAACTCCAGGATTGAAAGTAATGATCATACCTTCGGCAATGTAGACATGAAATCCTTGGTAGCCACGAAGTGTGGATACTTCAGCATTGATTTTTTAGTGTCGAAGTAACATGGCATTTGTTGGTCGAGCTTGACATTGGTTTGTGTCAAGATGAGATCACGATCTGTACTGACATTGGTCTCTGCATTCAGCTCTCGTCTAGATACAAACATGTAAGAGCAGTAGCTCCTTTATTAATTTGTTCCACCATAAATAAGAAAGACTATATGAATACCTCGATTTTAGAGATAGAGAGACAGAAATTGGGGGTGGGGGGGGGGGTCATGCTTCGATTGATGAAATTGAGAAGAAGGCAATAAGTTATAAACACAACCGTGAGAAAAAGATGATCGAACCCCCCCCCCCCCAAAAAAAAAAAAAAAAGTATATTAAAGTTTTATTTAGCACTCCATCTTTTGCCTTTTTCTATTTATTGTTGTTGTTGTTGGGGTTTTTTTTTTAATTGTGTGTAAAATAATTAAATGCACCACACCGGTGGTAACATGTCTGCAAATTGTGTGACCAAATGAAAAAAAGAGTTGTCAGGGTTTTTTGGTGTGCTTGTGACACCCCCCTAATTGTGGCACGTGCTCCCTTAGATCAGCCACTGAAACGTTCCCTCCAATGATGTTATAAAACAAAAATAAAACCTACCTAAAATTATCAAGGTGTTGTGGATTGGCCTTCCAATGAAGCTTTTGCAGAAGGTTGGCATAGAGATAAATCCGCTCTGCATCACTGTTGTTGAAAACCCATATTTGCTTTGTAAAATTTGAAGACCTACGAATCATCAAAATAAAATGAACGATGAACACGAGGTTCTCACGATATTTAGAAAATTAATGGTCTTGACCTACTAGCATCTTGGTTATCATCTCCATTACAACCATTATAACCAAAATCGCAATTATCATCATCGCCACCATACCAATCATTATGATCGTCCTCATCGTCAACATCAACATTATCATGGTCGTCATCATGATAAAAAAATGTAGAATGAACCTTGCTCTAAATTTTCACAACTTGTTTTTATAAACATGACAATGAATTATGTCTACTTAGTTACTGCCTGATTTGGTAAAGGGCGTTGGTTTATTTCCTTTAAGGGCCGGAGGGGGTGAAACTTATATATTACGTTTCTTTTTAAAAGGAAACCTAATTTTCTCCAGCGAAGTCTCGTCAAATAAACATAGCTATATTTATCCTACTACATACTGAATTGGGATTATTATCCCCTTTCTCATTGTGTGATGATAAACCCTGGAACCATCAAACTAAAACAACTCGAAACAAGCTATGTAAACATTGATTTTGCCACAAGGTTGGGGTCTATCTAAATTCATCAATACAATGAATTCATTAACCCTCTCTCTGTTTTCATTTTATTTGTATCTTTCAATCCCATTGCATGTAAGAACTTCTATCTCATTCAAGTTGCATACACGTCGAAAGATAACTTTAAAAATAATAACTATGACCCATCATTGCTCTTTGTCTTAACCTTTTGTTTGTTTGTTACTTTGCAATGGAATTACAACATGCATTACTTCTGTGCGTAAACTACTTTTGACACCACTCACTTAAACGATTTTCATAAGGAAGAAGATAAATTTATCTTTGAAATGAATAATAAGAATTAATCATGACATAATCGTTTCGTCTGTAATTGATTGTAAAAAACCACACTGGTATAAATCGATTGTATCACCGCTTTCTGATGAACCTATATACTATAAGGATGATGGGATATGTCATGGCTTTAGGGGGCAGCATGCATCTCCACCAAAAAAGGGGGAGATGTTGTAACTAAGGCATCAAAATGAACTAGATCAAAGTTGTGTATTTGAGAGGAAGCACCAGTTGAATAACGTTTTTAGACAATACCTAATAAAAATCCCCCTGTGCCTTTAAAATATAGCCATATGACCATATTGACGGTATTTGAAGCATTATTGATTAATTGCCAACATTTCGGTGGCAACATTTCTGTCATTAGGAGACAATATGCCCCATGTTCCCAACTGTCGTGTCTTAATTATGCATCATTTTATGTTCGTTTATTCATCCGTTTTATGGTTTCTATGTGAAGAATTATGTATGGGAGGGGGGGGGGGTTGTGAAGGTAATTACCCCTGGTATACTGCATAATTACGTAAAACTTAAACATCCGCTTTATTTATTACGTACTCGTTAACGTTTCCATGCATGCTCTCGAACATAAAATGTGAAAGAATAGGTGGAGTTTTTCGTTTTCGTGGTCGCCTGGTGTATGAGATCGTCGATAACAGCAGATAATAGAGCAGAATCGTAGACAGGACTGCGATGACGAAACGACGTGAATGTTGACGACGTCGAAACGTGGTTAAAAGTCGGAACACTGAGTAAAAGAAAGGGTTATAACATTAAAATGTTACCCTTGCCATTGTTATGTTACGGGGGAAATAATTTTACAACAATGTAAAGCGTTTAAAAACTTAATATTAAGCGCTGTAAAATGTCACTGTTATTTTTAATGTAATATTAGATATTCTTCATCATTCATAACCCAAGAAATAATGTCTTTCAGATTGTGCACGATGTTCAACTAAAGGACTTAATTTATAATTTTCATGTTATACACTCATAATGATTTCTTTTTAAGTATGAACATTGTATTATTTTTTATATTTCTGTTATTGAAAAGATAAATAAAACCTCAGTTCAATTCAGTTCAATTCAGTTCATTTATAGCGGAGATGTTTGCTATACAGTAGCAGTCATGAAGTCACGACCAACTTGAAGACATAAAAGGTCCGTGACGCCTAAATATACGGTCGCCATTTTCCTTCATTCTATAATACATAAAGGTCTGAAGTATCACACTACATCATTCTATATGACCCCAAAAGTACAACAAACAGCGATGGGATCAATACAATTTTTTTAACGATCACTCTTTTCCCCGATAGCTCTTTGTTGTGATCTTCAGTCGTGAACCATTTTCTTTCAAATCATATGATATTGAATATTAAATCGATAAAATGTATGAATCAATTTTTGTAATAACACCGTGTTAACAACGTTTTAAAAGGATAGGGCAATGAAGAGTGCGATACAGATATTGCCTTTTCATATAATATACCCTCAAGCTACGATATTTATCATAAACGTTCATTTGCACAGACCAATGTTTGTGTCTCGAGAAAGTTTTATTTTGTTGATAGGTATAGATCCATCCTTTAGTGACTATACTTTAAACAAACAAAAATATCTTCGTTTCTCACTGAATCAGCTCTCTTACTTGATATTTTGGTTCTTGAAAGGAACTGCAAACAGCAAGTTGGTTAAACTATATAGCACTGTACGGTAATCATCAAATTACTCACTATCTTCAAATATCGATCTTGTCAAATAAAATAATTACCTGTTGAATAAAACAGCTTTTTGTGATTATCGGAAAATGAACACAATAACAAACCCACCTTCTGCTGAAAGTCTTTGTAAACACCATCTACAGACAGTAAATGAAGCCAACGTTCTATCCAGCAATATTTCTCCAAACATATTTCAATTAGAAATTCACTTTCAAAGTAGAAATAAGATGAATGATGGCAGATATCCAGCGGAGAGAATGAAGTATACTGATGTCCCGATGCTTTCCTCCGTTCATCAATGAGATAGCATGAACTATAGGATGAAGGCATAATATGAAATGATATATGATAATGATATGGATCAGGGATGCCAGGTAAAATGTCAGAGGTAAAAATTTCAGAGGAACAAACGTCAGAGATAACAATTTCAGAGGTAAAAATGTCAGAGGTAAAAATGTCAGAGGTAATATCATCAGAGGTAAAAATATCAGAGGTAATAATGTCAGAGATAAAACATGTCAGAGGTAAAAATGTCAGAGGTAAAAACGTCAGAGGTTATAACTGTACATCAGAGGTAAAAATATCAGAGGTAATAATGTCAGAGGTAAAAAATGTCAGAGGTTATAACTGTACATCAGAGGTAAAAATATCAGAGGTAATAATGTCTGAGGTAAAAATGTCAGAGGTTATAACTGTACATTAGAGGTAAAAATATCAGAGGTAATAATTTCAGAGGTAAACATTTTAGAGGTAATAATACCAGAGGTAAAAATGTCACAGGTAAAAATGTAAGAGGTAATATTAAACATCAGAGGTAAAAATATCAGAGGTAATAATGTCAGAGGTAAAAAAATGTCAGAGGTTATAACTGTACATCAGAGGTAAAAATATCAGAGGTAATAATGTCAGAGGTAAGAATGTCAGAGGTTATAACTGTACATCAGAGGTAAATACGTCAGAGATAATTTCAGAGGTAAACATTTTAGAGGTAATAATATCAGAGGTAAAAATGTCACAGGTAAAAAAATGTAAGAGGTAATATTAAACATCAGAGGTAAAAATATCAGAGGTAATGATGTCAGAGGTAAAAAATGTCAGAGGTAATAAAATCAGAGGTAAAAATATCAGAGGTAATAATGTCAGAGGTAATAATGTCAGAGGTAAAAATGTCAGAGGTTATAACTGTACATCAGAGGTAAAAATATCAGAGGTAATAATGTCAGAGGTAAATACGTCAGAGATAATAATTTCAGAGGTAAAGATTTTAGAGGTAATAATATCAGAGGTAAAAATATCAGAGGTAAAAATATCAGAGGTAATAATGTCACAGGTAAAAACGTCAGAGGTAATGATGTCAGAGGTAATACTTCTCCCTTTCTTTGTATACGCAGTACAGTAAGTCGGAAGATGTATATGTCCAGGGGGGTGTTTCACAAAGATCCTAAGTCCAACTTAACTCTAAGTTGGACTTAAATATTATGGAGAGCCATTTGAAGCCATCTAATAAAATATATTCAAAAGCAAAAATTTAATTATTTTACACTTTACATTAATTCCACATCGAGAACATGTCATCTCCTTGATAATAGAAAATATTAATGATTTGTATCAGCATTTTATGCCTTTTAAAATAACTTTTACAAAATATTTTCAAAGATGCTAATGGCTTTCCATAATTTTTAAGTCCAACTTAGAGATAAGTTCAACTTAGGATCTTTGTGAAACAACCCCCAGAACTAGAATTGATGGTTTATCCCTAAAAGAGTTGAACAGCCGAGTTTAACTTTTTGGAACACACCATCTGGATATTATTACTTTGAATTATATCACACGACTAAATCAATTTGGCTTGTTGGGCGAGTAATAACCGAATTCCTGTTGGTCTAATAATGGGCTATAATTTTGTGGGAAGATAATTATATTATATATTTACTCTTCAGTGTTAAGGTAAACAATTCTGTGGTAGTTTTTATTCAATTGAGTTGTGTCTGGGGGCGGTCGGTGGACCATTCATGATGGTCAGTGATGTGAATCCGCGAGGACAATTAAAGTCGACCTCCCCTACTCGGAACCAAGGCTACTTGAATATACATTTTCTTTTCGTCCATTAATTTCCCATTAATTTACAATGGTCTGTTAGTTCTTTTCTTTGCTCTGCATCATAATCTAGAAACGTTTTGTTTCGTTTTTTTGTTAAGCACAGTGGCATACTTCAGCCAAATAGTTGTTCGTCAACATGGCCGTGCATATAAAATAGAAATCCCAATTTTACCAATTTTAGGGATACACATGTACGTACGAAAAGTCGATGAATAGGAAAAGACCATGCTGTACACAGGAAGTATATCAATAAACCAATTTCAGATATAAACCCTCCCGTTTACACAATTCTATATGAATATGCACGTGCATGATGATTTTAATCGTAATGTTGA